AATCCTAAATTGATATCCCAAAAATCGAGTGTTCTCTGATTTTTTGAACAAATGTCTGCTGGAGCAGATTTTTCTAGAAAAATTCGAATAACTCGAGAACGGCCGAATCAAATTGCAAAAAGTAAAGTTATTTATAAACCCTGAAAACAGACAAATCCAAATATGTAAAAATATACAGGCTGTTCCATTTAAAAAAATAAAGTAGGTGGCGACTTCCGGTATAACCGGAAGTGCAAGAAATCTGAAAATATTTTAGTCGAAGAGATCGTAATTGATAATACTTAAGTCTGAATTCTCAAATTTTTATTTTCGCCAGAACCCCAGAAACGTCTAATGACTGGTCTCGCTGAGACACCCTGTATAATTCGCTCTAAAAAGACTATAACTTTGAAAAACTGACTGAGATATTAGGAGTAAAAAAAGGAGTATAATTAAAATAGAGATATAAAAAAAAGAAAATTTTTTTTTAAGACATGTTTAATGAACAGGCGCAAATACAATAAATTTTATGTAATAAAATACAAGAGAACAGTCAATATCAATAAAAAAAAACATTTAAATAAATAAATATACCAAAAATAATTGAGTAATTATTAAAATTATCTTGGAAAAATAAATAGGAACATCACCAGAATTGGTCAATTTCTTTTCAGTTATATTTATGGTTGGAATTGTGGGGGGAATGTAGCTAGTTTTAAAAATTTGTGAAGTCGTCATCGAAAATATTTTCGATTCGCAAGAACACTCTATATGATCTTCGACGTTTAGTGCCAAATTCGTCGGTTTTGGATTCAAAATTGTTACGTGAACCTCTAAATATTTACTCTTCGTGACAACACAAGGTTGTTGGAAACCTACCAAACCAACGAACTTTGGACATTCGTTTACAATTATGACTATTGGATCTACCTAAATATTAATTAATTATTATTATTAACGTATAATGAGAAAATAAAAAAAAATACCTTTCGAATTCTTGTAGAATCTGGTAAAAGTTCTCTTGTAATCAACATCACTTCTCGTGGTTTTGGGTGTAACATGTATTTTTGTAACCGTTGTATCACCTGGAAAAATTGCATCACCTAAAAATAATTAATTAAGTTATCTAATACATAATAATAATTACTTACTTGAGGTGTTGGAGATGGAGTTGATGATTCACCCATATTATTTGGAATGTGGCACAAAATGCACGTAAAAAGAATGATTACGATTTTCATGATTTAACTGATAAGAACTGTGTAAAAGAGAACCTATTGCTACCGGCACTTGAATGGGAATGAAAACTGAACAATAACCTTTCTTAAAACGCCCGTAAGGGGACGGCGGGTCGTTTCAAAAGGAGGTGGGGGGCGCTTTGCACCGCGATTTCATCCTTTTCCCACAAATATATCGTGGCAATTTAATAACGAACATTTCCGATTTATGCAGTACCCACTAAAATTGGTATTACGTCATCTCGTCTCAATTTAGATACCAAGAATTATAATTATGTGTTTTAATACATTTAAAGTGAGACAACATTTGTACAATAATCGACGATCAATTTAGTGTTCCTGCTGTACATCCATAAAACTTTGTAAGAACGTCTGGTTCATTTATTCAATGAAACGCGTTCGAAATTCTTAGAATTGGTGACGTTGCGCTCTAAACCAAAGTCCAACCGGCTAAATTTCTTAGAACTCGTTCGATGCCACCAACAAACTTTTATTCTTTTATTCTTCTTCTTCTTCTTCTGATGCCACCAACAAACTTTTATTCTTTTATTCTTCTTTTATTCTGATTTTACATATCGTTGTCTTACATTACATTACATAGATTACATATCGGGTAGGCGGTCCAACCCACCTTGCATCGCCACCTTAATGATCTATTGAACCCCGATAAATAACGTTATCAAATTTCACCGTGCTCTTAACGAACACTAATACCTTGCTCGAAAAGGTGAAAAGTCATTCAGATCCTTTGGGGAGATAAATTGCGACCCAAAAATCGAGAATCTGATACGATTAACGGCAGGGCAATGGCATAAAACATGCTCAATCGTCTCCTCGTATTCCGCACATAGTTGGCATTCAACATCGTCGGCTAGCCCCAACAAGTTGAGGTGTGTAAATCGGCCCAGTAAAGACACCCATTAGAACTTTAATGCTGGTATGAGCAAGTCCTAAAATAGTCCCTGGTTTGACAGTGGCGATGTTAATAAACACCTTAACATATCTCATTCCAGGAGAACTGGTCCACAGTATTCGAAGTCTCTTTTTAACCCATAGTCCAAACCATAAGTTTGGCCATAGCAAATGATACACCAACTGCTGGTTCTGGCCCAAACAAACGCTTTAACGCTGCCTTCTCGTGCTAGCTCATCAGCCGCTTCATTGTCAGCAACCCCAGAGTGACCTAGGACCCAGATCACAGAAATTCTGGTTAAAAAACCAGAGAGGCGATTTTGTTCAATCTCGTTGGCAACAATAAAATAAAACTATTCCAGGATAGTATCAATCGAAATAAAAAAGGCTATTAAATCCTTAAACTAAATACAAAGAAATTCAGTAACATATTGTAAAAATAACAAAAAGTAACTTACAATTGCAAGTAAATTGCGCGAAAGATCAAGAACAAACAAGACACAGTATACATTTTAAATACGTATGATACAATGGCAAAGTTTGGCAAACACCATTTATATAAAAAGTGAAAACAAGTTCTCCTTTTTCAAAAACACGAACATCACGTGAAGAACTTTTTTAACCTTCTCAATACAACTCTTTTATTTGGTAGGATCAAAAAACTAAATCAGTACCAATCATACAGAAAATTTTCTGTTCTTTCTATTAGTGCATAACAAAAATCACACTAGTTTCTAAAACCATTTTTTCTTGTAAAAACAGCTTTACCGGCGCGTTTTTGGAGCGTATTAAATCAATTTTGGGATAATAACTGTTTTTATCATACGGACAAAACTTCTGAACCATATGGAATATATAGGAAATTTTCCGCTCTATACAGTGGTATATAACTCTAGTAGATCGCATGGTTGCAGAAGTATTTTCCCCCCAAAAACTGCAAAAACCGCGCATAATTGCCGTATATAAACGTTTATGGTGTCACAACTTTCTTATATGATTCGGACAAAACACTGGGATCATATGGAATATATAGGAAATTTTCCGCTCTATACAGTGGTATATATCTTTAGTAGATCGCATGGTTGCAGAAGTATTTTCCCCCCAAAAACTGCAAAAACCGCATATAATTGCCGTATATAAATGTTTATCACGTCATAACTTTCTTATATGATAAGGACAAAACTCCGTGGCCATATAGAATTTATAGGAATTTATGAGAAATATCCATGTTGCAAGTAAAAATGAAATTTGAATAAGGAAATAAAAGACAATATATGAACTTCGCACTTGCATAAATTGTTTAATTTAAATCGGTACCGGTTTCGAAGTATATTACTTCATCCTCAGCCGAAAATGTCAAAAGGTGAAGCCAACAGGTATATTCATTTGAAATTGAAAAGTTTGAAAAGTTGAAAAAATTTTTTAATCGTAAGTAACATCCAGAATATAAAATACGTCGTTAATCATTATAAAAAAAAAAAAACAACAAAATGGAGGTAATGTAAAACGTGAAGCGTATGGCAAAGTTGTAATGAAATGAATGAAAAGCGATGATTGTATAAAAATATTCTTGAAAATTACGTGTTAAAAGTTAAAAATTACATGTGACCATCTTGGCGGAGCGAGAAGAAGAGACTGCAGAGACCGATTTAAATTAAACAATTTATGTAAGTGCGAAGTTCATATATTGTCTTTTATTTCCTTATAGGAATTTGTTCTCTTCTATACAGTGGTGTATAAATTAACTAGATCACATGATTACACAAGTAGTTTCCCCACAAATACCGCAAAAACTGCATATCATTGCCGAATATAAATGTTTACGACGTCATAACTTTTTTATATGATACGGACAAAACTCCGTGTACATATAGAGCCTATAGGAAATTTTCCGCTCTATATAATGGTATATAACTTAAGTAGATGGCATGGTTGTACAAGCATCTTTCCTCCAAATACTAAAAAAATCGTGTATAATTGCCGTATATAAATCTTTATGGTGTCACACCTTTCTTATATGATTCGGACAAAACACTGGGATCATATGGAATATATAGGAAATTTCCCGCTCTATACAGTGGTATATAACTTTAGTAGATCGCATGGTTGCAGAAGTATTTTCCCCCCAAAAACTGCAAAAACGGCGTATAATTGCCGTATATAAATGTTTATCGCGTCATAACTTTCTTATATGATAGGGACAAAACTCCGTGGCCATATAGAATTTATAGGAAATGTTCTGCTCTATACAGTGGTGTATAAATTAATTAGATCGCATGATTACACAAGTAGTTTCCCCACAAATACCGCAAAAACTGCATATTATTGCCGAATATAAATGTTCACGGCGTTCATAACATTTTATATGATACGGACAAAACTTCGTGCACTTATAGAGCTTATAGAAAATTTTCCGCTCTATACAATGGTATATAACTTAAGTAGATATCATGGTTGCACAAGCAACTTTCCTCCAAAAACTGAAAATACAGCGTATAATTGCCGTATGTAAATGTTTATGGTGTCACAACTTTCTTATATGATTCGGACAAAACACTGGGATCATATGGAATATATAGGAAATTTTCCACTCTATACAGTGGTATATAACTTTAGTAGATCGCATGGTTGCAGAAGTATTTTTCCCCAAAAAACTGCAAAAACCGCTTGTAATAATTGCCGTATATATATAAATGTTTATGGTGTCACAATTTTCTTATATGATTCGGACAAAACACTGGGATCATATGGAATATATAGGAAATTTTCCGCTCTATACAGTGGTATATAACTTTAGTAGATCATATCGTTGCAAAAGTATTTTCCCCCCAAAAACTGCAAAAACCGCATATAATTGCCGTATATAAATGTTTATCGCGTCATAACTTTCTTATATGATAAGGACAAAACTCCGTGGCCATATAGAATTTATAGGGAGTTGTTCTCTATACAGTGGTGTATAAATTAACTAGATCGCATGATTACACAAGTAGTTTCCCCACATATACCGCAAAAAACTGCATATTATTGCCGAATATAAATGTTCACGGCGTCATAACTTTTTTATATGATACGGACAAAACTCCGTGTTCATATAGGGCTTATAGGAAATTTCCCGCTCTATACTAATGGTATATAACTTAAGTATATGGCATGGTTGCACAAGCATCTTTCCTCCAAAAACTGAAAAAACCACATATAATTGCCGTATATAAATGTTTATGGTGGCACAACTTTCTTATATGATACGGACAAAACACTGGGATCATATGGAGTATATAGGAAATTTTTCGTTCTATACAGTGGTATATAACTTTAGTAGATTCCATGGTTACACAAGCATTTCCTTCTCAAAAACTGCAAAAACCGCATATTATTGGCGGATATAAATGTTCACGGCTAATATAGTTTCTTATATGATACGGATAAAACTCTGTGACCATATAACATTTGTAGGAAATTTTCCGCTCTATACAGTGGTATATAACTTTATTAGATCGCATGATTACACAAGCATTTTCACCCGAAATAGTGCCAAAACGCGCGTGTAGTAGCGTATATGATTGCAGCATCTCATAACATCCTGCTTGTGCAACCATGTGACCTATTATATTTATATACCACCGCATAGAGCGAAGAATTTCCTATATTTTTGATACTGGTTTAGTTTTTTGTTCCTACCAAATAAAAGAGTTGTATTGGAAAAGGCCTACTAATATTGAATAAATTAACAATTTGAGTGTTCCACATGATTACTACTTATTCAAGTTCTATAATAGTAATAAATCATATCGGTTTCTAATCCTGATATCGCTTTATTTACAAGTGAAACGTTTGTGATTTTCCTTTTAGATAATTTTAATAATTTTTAATACAAAATTTATCAATTTAACGACCGCACGGATGACTGAATGGTTTTAACGGTTAACCGAGAACACCGCGGCCGCAAACACGTTTGAATATACATATACATGTATATCCGATTCCGTACTTAGAATTAAATTAAATCATTACTTATTATTTTCTGATTTATACTAGTTTAGATTTGTTTTAGCTTCTCTACAACGTCAAACAAAAATATATTATGTGACGATAAAATGAGATCATCCTAATTATCAATGCACAAACTGAACGGTTATCGTGCGACGTTTGGTTTCGTTTAGAATCACTTGGAAAAAGTTGCCGAGTGCCGAGTTGAATAACCCAACATCAATATCGCGTCATATCCATTATAAATTACGTTTTTAAATACCTCATTCGTATGGATTGTACTAACAGGACAATCTCTAACTGATTGTTAATCAAACAGAATCGAAAATGAAAATCGAATTGATTGGACGAAAGTTGGAGGCTTGGTTCTTAATCTTCAATCCGATCACGTATACACAATAAGTTAATAGCATAACAAACATCTTTTCACCGACTTTATATTGGGTCATTATCGGTCATATTTTATATTTATAAAAGAAAAGATTGTGTGGTTTCCTGTATAATACTTTAATACTCGATTTTTATACTGGTTTGTAACAACGAGAAAGAAAAGTATAATGACTGTACAAGTTTCGTCTTTAGCCCGTTTCCGTTCATGATTGACTCATTTTATTATGATGAGAAGGTACGTCACTTAATAATAACAACTTTAGGAAATAGTCACACGACCTATTTCCGAGAAAGACTTGGAACACATCACATTTTAATTATCGTTAAAAAAATTCGTTTCTATGAATATGCGAGTACTTCTAACTGTCTGGTATTTATCTGTTCTGAAATTTAACATTTTGTAGAAGTATATTCTATTTTGCTACTTTACTAATAAAGTTGGTTAAAAAAGTTATCGTGGAAGGTAGATGATTAAATAGTACTAATTTGTTTAGTTAAACGAAAGTGAAGACGATGATGAAAACGATTATGATTTAAGAAATGACACTTTTTGGGGTTATTAAGGAACGTTTCAGGTTAGCTGATATCAAATTATAAGTTTTAATGATGATAAATTCATTTTATATACAGTTTTAAAGATCACATATTTATTTTGACGTTTATTGAAAGTGAGGCTAAATAAAAAATAGTTTTCTCCAAAACGGTTATGATTTAAGAAATGAAACTTTCTGGGGTTATAAAGGAATGTTTAAGGTTAAATCATATCAAATTGTAAGTTTTTATGATGATAAATTCATTTTATATACATTTTTAAAGATCGGGTAAATAATATTATTAAATTGTTTACTCTTAAATGGTTACTTCTGAATAAATGAAACTTTTTGGGGTTATAAAGGAAGGCCCTAAGTTAGGTTATACTAAATAATCAGTTTCTGAAGTAAAGACAGTCAATCATTTCATAGGAATTTCTGAAAATCATCTATTCTATTTGACGATATTGAAATTGCAGTTAAAGCAAAAAATCGTTTTCTCCAAAACTGTAGGGATTTAAGAAATGAAACTTTTTGAGGATATAAAGAAACGTTTTACATTAAGTTGTACAAAATTTTAAGTTCGCAAAGTGAACAATTTATTTTATACGAATAATAAAAGTGTCAAAAAAGATGCTAATTTAAAAATTCCTGGAAGCCGTGTTTATTGAAATTAAGGAATGAAACTTATTTTAAATTAAAGCTCAAAGTTTTCTTTTTAAAATGATGTATAATAATTGTTGGGTTGGGTTGGAAAAATATTGAGAAAAAAAATGTTGAAATAAAACTTACATTTTCGTATAACCTAAAAGTGTCAAAAAAGATGTTAATTTAAAAATTCCTGAAAGCCGTATTTATTGAAATTAAGGAATGAGACTTATTTTAAATTAAAGCTCAAAGTTTTCTTTTTAAAATGATGTATAATAATTGTTGGATTGGTTTGGAAAAATATTGAGAAAGGAAATGTTGAAACAAAACTTACATTATCGTATAAACTAAAAGTGTCAAAAAAGATGTTAATTTAAAAATTCCTGATAGCCGTATTTATTGAAATTAAGGAATGAGACTTATTTTAAATTAAAGCTCAAAGTTTTCTTTTTTAAATGATGTATAATAATTGTTGGGTTGGATTGGAAAAATATTAAGAGAAAAATTGTTCAAATAAAACTTACATTTTCGTATAACGTAAAAGTGTCAAAAAAGATGTTATTTTAAAAATTCCTGAAAGCCGTATTTATTGAAATTAAGGAATGAGACTTATTTTAAATTAAAGGTCAAAGCTTTTTCTTTAAAATGATGTATAATAATTGTTGGGTTGGATTGGAAAAATATTAAGAAAAAAAATGTTGAAATAAAACTTACATTTTCGTATAATCTAAAAGTGTCAAAAAAGATATTAATTTAAAAATTCCTGGAAGCCGTATTTATTGAAATTAAGTTATTGTTAAAGTTATAGTATTATTTGCTGTTTTAAGCGCTCTCATTGGCTAAGAATTGGATTTATCTATCGGATAAATTTATCAAGAGGAGGTAAAAGTGGGCCTAAGAAATGTATGCCAATATCTTCTTTCAAATTTAGCATTTTATTCCTTTGGGTGGCATACAAATTACTTTGAAAGGTAATATCTTTCACACAGTTGCCCATCAGTGTTAGAAAATAATCTGTAGGATTAATAAAGTATTACCAATTATTCCCTCTGTATAGTGATATCCTGGAATTTCAGTCTGTTTTTCCCGTTTTTTCCATTTTCTATCAATTTCTGCCTTGTTCTACGTGTTTGTGCAAACGGGCTATCACCGTGTGCTATACCCCATTAGAAAGAGCAGAAAATTTTCGATTAAATAGATATGGTTCTAGACTTTTCTCCTGGTCATATAAGAAAGTTATTGACCCGAACAAGGTTTAAAAGTGGCTAAAACGTGTGAATTTAGTAGTTTTTGGCCAAAAACGTACTTGTGCAAGCCCATGATCGCCGAATGTTATACACCATTCACAGAACAGTAGTATAGCGCAGGTGCAAGCCGCAAAACCCGCAAGTGTTGCAACGTGCGCGCAGTTGTCAACAGTTATATAGAAGAAGCGCCAACTACATGTTAAAATCAGAGCAACACATTTTACCTCCACTTTTGCATGGCACAACTAGGCGCGAAGTTTGAACTGGTCAACTCTGTTAAGAAGAATATTTTACCTTAAAACTTATATGACTTAACCACAAACAACAAGGGTTATTTCTTTTCGATTCTGTCATACTGGTGGCGCGTTGGCGTGTTTGGGACAGACCATGCAGAAGTGGGGATAAAATGCCAGTAAACGCTGCGAAAACGTGTGATATTTGAAAATTGCGGTGTTGTCAAACCTAAACGTGGGAGAATTGGCATTTGCGCATGCATGGCAAGAATGTAACGTAGGCATTGCCGACTTTTAGATACTGCCTTCACCCCCCTGGGATTCTGAATATTAGTTTCACTCTCCTGGCGCAGGTGCAAGCTGCAAAACCCGCCAAATGTTGTAACGTGCGCGCAGTTGTCAATTTATTCATCAGGTGATGCGTTGCGGCAACACCGCATTTCGTATGGCACGGGATTCCGGATTCCAAATAGTAATTTCACTCCCCAGACACCATTAGAAAGCAAGGACGGTAAACTCTAAAGGACTGTTCCATCCTCGTATAGGCCGAATTCGTACGTGACGTGATTCATAGACCTCATAGCTACGTTCGGTACATTTACACTGGCAAATTATGTGTCTTTGAGGATTTATAACTTGTCAACCGATCTATGAAAAAAATTCTGGTAAAGTTTGTTGTAATCAGTGAACATTTCTACGTAATATTTATAATTTTGAAAATTTATTCAGTTGCGTCGTTTATGAGGAATTGCGAGTTAAATGAAACAACTACCTAATATTCGTGGATGACAAAGTCGATCCAATTATATTGTGATTTTTAATTTTCGGTTAAAGGTAATGAATATAAATTTGACTAAGAAATAATTAAATTTAATTTTTTTTTAATTAAATTGTGTGTTAGGCGTTATTAATTTATGATCTTTTTGATTTTCTTAACATTTTTTCGACCACCGCGATCGTCGCATTTTCGTTTTAACGTTAATTGAAGGTTTTTATAGTTTAAACCAGTGGTCTTCAAACTATTTTGAGGCGCGGAACCCCTTTACAGTTATATATATTTCAACGGAACCGTTAAGAAAAAATTAATATCAATTTAAAACTTATGTGAATTTTAGAATGTTAAACAAGTAAATTGGTAAAAAATACATATTTTCATTGTTCATTATTATAAAAGTACAAAAATAAAACACAAATGCAAAATTAGATTGCATGCGCTAATGGCTGGGGTGAGCCTGTTTGCCCTTGCATAATATATTAAAATCTGGTAAAATATTTGTTATTTGTAGACGCATCTCATTTTCTGCATCAAGCCTATTTCTGTACGTCGAAAGGCAGTAATCTAAGACCGATTAGAATGCTCTTGTTGATATTTCTGGATATTCTGCGTACAATTTTTCTTTTCTGTCAAATGCACATTTCAAAACTGAATCCGTTGATATATCTATTAATTGTTCTCTTTCTTTCAACATTAAATTCCCAGATTTATTGTAATATTGAAATGGATCTTTAATCCATTCATACGATTCTGTTGTTTCTGGGAAGTATATTCGTATTGTCCGTTTTAATTGAATAATATGTTCCTCAATCAGTTGTCGAACATCATTATTTATGACTAATTCATTTTCGATTAGAAAACTGTTTAACATTTGGAAACATTGCACGTTATTTGATTTAACGTAAGATTCCCATAAATCTAATTTCAGTAGTAATGAATTGATTTTATCATGCATTTTAATAATGTTGATATTAATTCCTTGAAGTGATTTATTGTATTCATTTAAAAAAGAGAATATATCTGCCAAATAGCATACGGTTTGTAACCATATTTCACAAATCAATTTTGCTGCATATTTGTGATTATGTTCATTTAAAAATAATCTGACTTCATCTTTCAACTCTACAAACCGAGTTAAAATTTTACCACGTGAAAGCCAGCGTACTTCTGCATGCAATAACAAAGTTTTATGCGTACTAGATAGCTCCTCACATAGCAAAGCAAATAATCTGGAATTTAGTTCCTTCTTTATAAAATTTATAATTTGCACTGTTTCTTCCAACGTATCTTTGAGTTTTTGCGAGATACGTCTTACCGCTAATTGATGCCTATGAAGACAACAATGGGAATGTTTAATATGGGGAGCTAGTTGAATAATTCGCGATATTGCTCCTTTTTCGCGACCTAATAAGGATTTTGCTCCATCAGTACAAATATGCGCGCATAAATTCCAACTTATTTTATGTTTTTCCATGTACAAATTAATCAGTTTAAAAATTTCTTCTCCAGTCGTCCTTCCTACGAGGGGTTTACAGAAGAGCATATCTTCTTGCACTGAAGAATTAAAAACATAGCGTACCAGTACAATTAACACAGCTAATCCTGCAACATCTGTGGTTTCATCCAACTGCAATGCAAAAGGATGGTTCGACGTTTTCAGACGATTTATTAAATCATTTTCACAAAATAATGCCATTTCTTCAATTCGTCTTGCAATTGTGGTGTCCGATAATGGAATGCTGTTCACTTCTTCCAGATAAGTCTCTCCAAATTTGCAAGATATTACATCCTTAATGCAGGGTTTTATTAATTTTTCGGCAATTGTGTAAGCCTCTCCTTCTCTTGCAATGCGATAGCTAATGCGGAATGAAGCTTCAAGTGATTTCGCGTTATCAGAGAGCACATATTTACAAAATGTCTTTGTTTTCTTCTTCAATTCATCATTTTTACGTTTGAAATATTCAACACTTTTGTTGCAAAGATTTGCATGGTTCGTTTCAAGGTGACGCTTTAATTTTGCCGGATTCAAACTGCTGTTACATATTACCTTTTCACATACTACACAAAGGCCATTCGGTTCATTTGCATCTCCTACCCAGGTAAATCCAAATTGTAAATAATTTTCATCATATTTTCGCGTCTTTATACCTTCAGATATTTTAATTTTCTTTGTTATAGGTACTTCGATGGGTACTTCTTGAACTTCATCTAACAATGTAGTGTCATTTACATTACTTGCAGATGTTGAAGGACTTTCAGTAGTACGTTTTAACGTTCCCGTTTTTAACCAAAAATCCATCTGCAAAGGGATTGCAAATATTTAAAAATATACTCCTTACAACCAATTAGGAGATGAAGTTTTATACGAAAATGATTTACTATATTTTTTTCAACTATGTAAATTTACATTTACATGGATAAAAGGCAAAAATTATTTTTCGAATAAAAATTTGAAATAGAAAATTTTAAATATTAGAAAACACTTACCTTTGCTTTCGCAATATAGTTCATATAACAATAACCAAAAAACGTATTCATACACAAAAGAGTACGTCAAAATAAATGCAATAGTGCCTGTATCGCCTTACAGTCTTTACACTACTGCGGCTACTGCAGCTACAAGCTACAACTTGCAAACGTGAGACAGTGATCAGCTGACTCCAGCGATTGTGACGTAACATTTACAGCGCGAAATTTTAAAATTATAAGCACGGTTTCATTTTTATAACTATCCATCTTTATGAAAATATTGAATTTTTAAAATTAGTATACTTATTGAATAAGTAGGGGTTGACTTATTGACTTATATAAAGAAATATTTGGGCATGGCATTTGAATACCGCTGGTTTAAACGAATAATTGTTCGTAATTTAATAAAGGCCAGAATTAAATCTATGGGGATATTTAAATGTCTTTTCTTAATTATTAGCGAAAGCCTTTTCACAACCCTGCTTGATTTGGTTTTTATTTGATTTCGTGCGGTATTGTGAAAATATTCAAAATAATTGTTTAAAAGTTTAATATTTCTCAACCATTCTTCGGATGGTTTGATTAATCCTCCATAAGATAGATGTTGTACCCATGTTGGCAAACAATAACTATGGTCATCTTTAATTTTGTATGTGTAATCACCTAAATCCTTGTAACGACCTTTGAATTTTTTTGCTAAATATCCAGCAATATATTCTAAAGAATCGTTGGTGATTTCTTGTTGTTGTTTTTCTATATCATCAAAACTATAAAATTTTACGGAAATTGATGAATCCGATGATAAGGAGCCTTCAGCAGCGGAGGTTTCTATAACTTCTATGTCCACTTTGTTGGTATTACATTCCAAAACACCTGGATTTTTGCAAGAATAATAGTCCTCATTCTATATAATTCTATATATTAACGGTGTTGGATGATCATCAGTTCCACCTTTGCTCCTTATTTGAAAGAAAAAATTTTCTAAAGCGTCCTGGTTTAATTTATGAGTACAAATATAACGTATATTGTAACTTTGTTGCAATGTTTTGTACAGTTCTTTCAAAGATGTTATAGAAATGATGATAGCTTTTTGAAAAGTTTGGATTGAGTTGTTTCCTGTTGGTATAACATTCTCCATTAAATATTTCATTTTATCTAACATATCATTTTGTTGCGACATATTTGTACCATNCTTTCAAAGATGTTATAGAAATGATGATAGCTTTTTGAAAAGTTTGGATTGAGTTGTTTCCTGTTGGTATAACATTCTCCATTAAATATTTCATTTTATCTAATATATCATTTTGTTGCAACATATTTGTACCATAAGCAGTTTTAGTAGGAATTTTATTATTTTCACAATAACTATTGAATATGTCAAACCACAAGTTGACAGTTTCAATAAATTGAGCCAAATTTTCTGCTAAGGTTTCGGAAGGTCCTGATTTATAGTGTTGTAAAGCGATCGCAGTCTAGTGAGATAATAACTCCGAATCCATTCTACGCAATAGATCTTAGAAAAGTTTTTCCCAACATTGATACAAATAAAATTAAGAATGATACTTTTTGTGGTTTTAAAGAACCATTTGAGGATAACTTATATCAAATTATAAGCTACCATGATGATCGATTTATTTTATATGCAATTTTATAGATCACCTATTATATTATACATTTGTTGAAAGTTCTCGAAAATAATTAGGAATTAAGAAGTGAAACTTTTTGGGGATGTAAAGAAATGTTTAAAGTTTGATTACACCAAATTTTAAGTTCTCAAAGTAAACAATTCATATTATATATATTCTTAAAAAGCATTGATTTAAATTGACGTTTCTTAAAAGAAAAATATAATTTTTTCCAAAACGGTTAGGAATTAAGAAATGAAACTTTTTGAGGATATAAAGGAACGTCTCAGGTTAATATATATCGATTTGTAAGTTTCCATGATAATTCATTCATTTTACATTCATTTTTAAACATTACTTACTTAATTTGATGTTTGTTGAAAAGGAGGTTAAAGAAAAAAATTATTTTCTCCAAAACGGTTGTGAGTTAAGAAATGAAACTTTTTAGGGTTATAAAGAAACGTTCCAGGTTAGGTTATACTAAACTTAAAGTTTCTAAAATAAAAAATTCAGTTGATAGGAATTTATAGAAATCTGTTTGAATGGCTGCGAATAGATTTGGACATTCTAAAAGAAAAACATCCCCTACAAGGATGTGCGGCCTTGCTTAACTTAACAACAGATATCTTTTGGCATATTTATTGTAGTTGAGAAGCGATCTTTTCTGGAAACCAAGCTACCCTGAGTTCTATCATAATGATTTTGTTAGATTTAGCATCTTCCCTTTTAGGATTTCGATTTGTTGATTGTCTAATTTGCTGCAGAGCTGGTCGTAAATGTATATTTGAAATTTTTTCGATCGTTAAGTATCTCCAAATTGCTTCCAGAGTCAATCGATTATTTACTCTGACTCTAGCTATATATAAACCTTACCCAGTGTATAAAACCTTACCCCCTAACAGGTTAGTTTATATATTAATAAATAAAAAAACAAGCTATTTTAAAGAAAAATTTATATATTTTGCTCTACATTAAAATACTACATAGCGGATTACAAAATAAATATAACTAATTGATTAATTTTTAAATAAATAAATAAATTAAATATAGTTGACTTACAATTAAAATCAATATAGAGAAGTAAATAGCATCACCGGAATTTGTTTCACTTTTTGTTGGAAATGTAGGCAGAATGGTTTGAATTATTTGCGAAGTTGTTATCGGATAAAATTTGGATCCACAAGCGCATTTTAAGTGATCCGAGACATTTAGCATAACTTTCGTTAGATTTGGATTATATACAACAACCGGAACTTTTAAATGTTTGCTATTGGCGGCAAAACAAGGCTTTTGGAAATTTGGTAAACCAACGCTGGCTGGACACTGATTTGCAATGATGAATATTGGATAAACCTAAATATATAACCTTTATTTATATATAAACAAGATTAAGCTAACAGTTTCTTACTCGTTTAGTTCTTAAAGATTTTGGTAACAAATCTCTTGTCCACAGTATCATTTCTTTTGGTAGTGGATTCTCCATGTACTTTTGATACCTTTGCATCAATTGGTAGAATTTAACAACCTAAAACAAAAAATTAAATATTTTCCAATTAAGTATAAAAATTAATAAGTACTTACCTGAGGCGTTGGAGATGGAGTTAAAGTTGGTGTCACACCCATATGACTTAGAATGTTACACAAAATGTACGTGGAAAAAACGTTTAAGACTTTCATTGTTTCGCTGATAAAAACGCCGAATGTGTGAGTACCGATCGTAATAAGGAATTGCCGATAAGTAAACAGAAGTTGAAATGAACCCGGCGCATACAACTCGAGCATGCCACCGACTTGGGCATGCGCTTTTTACTCCAACATTTCAGTACCTTTAAAGTGTCTGTTTTCTTCCTAAGAAGGAGAAGCTGTCTAGCCCACTTTAATTTAATAGTCTCCTATTGGTAGAAATATCAGGCGATTTTCCAAGAAATATTATCCACGTCGCGCGTCGTCGCCTTTCGATTTCGTTCAATGATCTTTAGTGTTCAATAATAATTTTATTTTTCTAAATATAGATATTGTGATTGCAAAATTTCCTGTTCGATACTCTCAGAATCTAATAATATGTATTTTTTTTTTAATTTTATGATTTTAAATGTTTATTGATTTAAACCGTTGTTTCTTTAACACCTGGCATGCTAATTAGATGACCGTGAACTGTTCGCCAACGGAACCTAATTCATAGCGATAACCAATTTGAGTGGATCGAGTCTGGAGGCTTGGCTCGTAATCTTTAATCTTAACACGTATATCCTGACCTTACATAATATGCTCATATCACAAGGCCAAGTGTCTTTGTACATAACTAAAATTAGAACTTGTACATTTTTTTAGTTGCTATATACATATATCTAATATTTTTACCCTACGAGCTGTCTCCTTAAAACGTTTATGGTACAAAGTATCGTCCATTGTACAAAACTTACCCTCCTAAATTTAAGGGTGGAGCTCCTAATTGTGTGGAAAATTGACGCTTGCGCACCTATCAGAGGCTATTTTCTATAGCATCGCCATGAAAATACGACTCCAAGCATGTCCAGTCCAACTAAACGTAAACCTTTCTAACTAAAACAATAAATTTTACGTCATCTTAAAGAAGACAGTTTAAGGATTAATTTGATGTTAGAATCGCTTCTTAATTTTTAAAATTAAAACTTCCACGTTTTTTTGAATTTTACCCTTCTTTTTTGCTATTAGTTTAAACGTCAAAATATAATGGATCTCTTTAATAATGTATTAATGAAAAACCTTTCTAACTAAAACAACGACTTACACGTCATCTTAAAGAAGATAGTTTAAGGTATAATTTGATATTAGGATCGCTTCTTAATTTCTAAAATTAAGACTTCCACGATTTTTTGCATTTTATCCTTCGTTTTTGCCATTAGTTTAAACGTCAAAATAACATGATCTCTTTAAAAATGTATTAATGAAAAACCTTTCTAACTAAAGCAACGAATTACATGCCATCTTAAAGAAGATAGTTTAAGGTTTAATTTGATGTTAGGATCGCTTCTTAATTTTTAAAATTAAGACTTCTACGATTTTTTTAATTTTATCCTTCTTTTTTGCTATTAGTTTAAACGTCAAAATAACATGGATCTCTTTAAAAATGTATTAATGAAAAACCTTTCTAACTAAAGCAACGAATTACACGTCGTCTTAAAGAGGACAATTTAGGCTTTAATTTGATGTTAGGATCGCTTCTTAGTTTTTAAAAATAAGACCTCCACGATTTATTGAATTTCAACATTCTTATTTTGCTATTAGGTTAAACGTCAAAATAACATGGATCTCTTTAAAAATGTATTAATGAAAAACCTTTCTAACTAAAGCAACGAATTACACGTCGTCTTAAAGAGGACAATTTAGGCTTTAATTTGATGTTAGGATCGCTTCTTAATTTTTAAAAATAAGACCTCCACGATTTATTGAATTTCAACATTCTTATTTTGCTATTAGGTTAAACGTCAAAATAACATGGATCTCTTTAAAAATGTATTAATGAAAAACCTTTCTAACTAAAGCAACGAATTACACGTCGTCTTAAAGAGGACAATTTAGGCTTTAATTTGATGTTAGGATCGCTTCTTAATTTTTAAAAATAAGACCTCCACGATTTATTGAATTTCAACATTCTTATTTTGCTATTAGGTTAAACGTCAAAATAACATCGATCTCTTTAAAAATGTATTAATGAAAAACCTTTCTAACTAAAGCAACGAATTACACGTCGTCTTAAAGAGGACAATTTAGGCTTTAATTTGATGTTAGGATCGCTTCTTAATTTTTAAAAATAAGACCTCCACGATTTATTGAATTTCAACATTCTTATTTTGCTATTAGGTTAAACGTCAAAATAACATCGATCTCTTTAAAAATGTATTAATGAAAAACCTTTCTAACTAAAGCAACGAATTACACGTCGTCTTAAAGAGGACAATTTAGGCTTTAATTTGATGTTAGGATCGCTTCTTAATTTTTAAAAATAAGACCTCCACGATTTATTGAATTTCAACATTCTTATTTTGCTATTAGGTTAAACGTCAAAATAACATCGATCTCTTTAAAAATGTATTAATGAAAAACCTTTCTAACTAAAGCAACGAATTACACGTCGTCTTAAAGAGGACAATTTAGGCTTTAATTTGATGTTAGGATCGCTTCTTAATTTTTAAAAATAAGACCTCCACGATTTATTGAATTTCAACATTCTTATTTTGCTATTAGGTTAAACGTCAAAATAACATCGATCTCTTTAAAAATGTATTAATGAAAAACCTTTCTAACTAAAGCAACGAATTACACGTCGTCTTAAAGAGGACAATTTAGGCTTTAATTTGATGTTAGGATCGCTTCTTAATTTTTAAAAATAAGACCTCCACGATTTATTGAATTTCAACATTCTTATTTTGCTATTAGGTTAAACGTCAAAATAACATCGATCTCTTTAAAAATGTATTAATGAAAAACCTTTCTAACTAAAATAACGAATTACACGTCATCTTAAAGAAGACAGTTTAAGGTTTAATTTGATGTTAGGATCGCTTCTTAATGTATAAAATTAAGTCTTCCACGATTTTTTTAATTTTATCCTTCTTTTTTGCTATTAGTTTAAACGTCAAAATAACATCGATCTCTTTAAAAATGTATTAATGAAAAACCTTTCTAACTAAAATAACGAATTACACGTCGTCTTAAAGAAGACAGTTTAAGGTTTAATTTGATGTTAGGATCGCTTCTTAATTTATAAAATTAAGACTTCCACGATTTTTTTAATTTTATCCTTTTTTGCTATTAGTTTAAACGTCAAAATAACATGGATCTCTTTAAAAATGTATTAATGAAAAACCTTTCTAACTAAAACAACGAATTACACGTCATCTTAAAGAAGATAGTTTAAGGTTTAATTTGATGATAGGATCGCTTCTTAATTTTTAAAAATAAGACTTCCACGAATTATTGAATTTCAACATTCTTATTTTGCTATTAGGTTAAACGTCAAAATAACATGGATCTCTTTAAAAATGTATTAATGAAAACCTTTCTAACTAAAACAACGAATTACGCATCATCTTAAAGTGGATCGTTTAGGCTTTAATTTGGTGTTACGATCGCTTTTTAATTTTTTAAAATAAGACCTCCACGATTTTTTAAATTTTAACATTCTTTTTTGCTATTAGGTTAAACGTCAAAATAACATGGATCTCTTTAAATATGTATTAATGAAAAACTTTTCTAACTAAAAGAACGAATTACACGTCATCTTAAAGGAGACAGTTTAAGGTTTAATTTGATGTTAGGATCGCTTCTTAATTTAGAAAATTAAGACTTCCACGATTTTTTGAATTTTATCCTTCTTTTTTCTATTAGTTTAAACGTCAAAATAACATGAATCTCTTTAAAAATGTATTAATGAAAAACCTTTCTAGCTAATACAACGAATTACACGTCGTCTTAAAGAGGACAATTTAGGCTTTAATTTGATGTTAGGATCGCTTCTTAGTTTTTAAAAATAAGACCTCCACGATTTTTTTAATTTCAACATTCTTATTTTGCTATTAGGTTAAACGTCAAAATAACATCGATCTCTTTAAAAATGTATTAATTAAAAACCTTTCTAACTAAAACAACGAATTACACATCATCTTAAAGAGGGCAATTTAGGCTTTAATTTGATGTTAGGACCACTTCTTAATTTTTAAAATTAAGACTTCCACGATTTTTTGACTTTAACCTTCTTTTTTGCTATTAGTTTAAACGTCAAAATAACATGGATCTCTTTAAAAATGTATTAATGCAAAACCTTTCTAACTAAAGCAACGAATTTTAGGCTTTAATTTGATGTTAGGATCGCTTCTTAATTTTTAAAAATAAGACCTCCACGATTTATTGAATTTCAACATTCTTATTTTGCTATTAGGTTAAACGTCAAAATAACATGGATCTCTTTAAAAATGTATTAGTGAAAAACCTTTCTAACTAAAGCAACGAATTACACGTCGTCTTAAAGAGGACAATTTAGGCTTTAATTTGATGTTAGGATCGCTTCTTAATTTTTAAAATTAAGACTTCCACGATCTTTTGAATTTTATCCTTCTTTTTGCTATTAGTTTAAACGTCAAAATAACATGGATCTCTTTAAAAATGTATTAATGAAAAACTTTTCTAGCTAATACAACGAATTACACATAATCTTAAAGAGGGCAATTTAGGCTTTAATTTGATGTTAGGACCACTTCTTAATTTTTAAAATTAAGACTTCCACGATTTTTTGAATTTTACCCTTCTTTTTTGCCATTAGTTTAAACGTCAAAATAACATGGATCTCTTTAAAAATGTATTAATGAAAAACCTTTCTAACTAAAGCAACGAATTACACGTCGTCTTAAAGAGGACAATTTAGGCTTTAATTTGATGTTAGGACCACTTCTTAATTTTTAAAATTAAGACTTCCACGATTTTTTTAATTTTATCCTTCTTTTTTGCTATTAGTTTAAACGTCAAAATAACATGGATCTCTTTAAAAATGTATTAATGAAAAACCTTTCTAACTAAAGCAACGAATTACACGTCGTCTTAAAGAGGACAATTTAGGCTTTAATTTGATGTTAGGACCACTTCTTAATTTTTAAAATTAAGACTTACACGATTTTTTTAATTTTATCCTTCTTTTTTGCTATTAGTTTAAACGTCAAAATAACATGGATCTCTTTAAAAATGTATTAATGAAAGAACCTTTTTAACTAAAACAACGAATTACACATCATCTTAAAGTGGACAA